GGAGCTGGTGTGGCCTGTAATATGATGTGGCCTCAGGGTTGCCCACCGGATGTGAGTGCAGGGACACCCTTCCATGCATGACATCGCACTACAGGCACCCCGATATTATGCAACTGTTGATCAGAGCGGCCGCTCAAGACGCTACGCAAGAGTTAGAGCTCCTAACTAACAGTTGGCAACAGCAACCAGAAAACTGTCAACCCGCTACCCCCAGGATGAAGAGGCGTTGCCAGAGACTGCACACATCATAAGAGAATCACGACAGTCTTACTACTGAGACCAGAGAGAAGGAAAGGAAAAGTACCGGGAATCCCTTCCTAAACAAGAATCCCTGCGCTTGAGAAGGGGGAGAGGAGTGTTGACCGAGCGATAGGAATGCTTATCTACTCAAAAAAACGAGCAGCTTACAAGAAGTCCAAGAACAACTTGCAAGCCACTCAGTGTTGCAACTAAAATCTAAAATTTTTAATTTAGTTTTGAAACTGAAATATAAGTCCCAATATTCACTTCTTGAGTGCAAAGAGTGACTCACCCGAGAGCCCGTCAACTCATATCGCTCATTCATTATATTTGTGTAAGTCGTCTTCTTTCTTTTATGTGCCGTATCCCTTCAGGACGTAGGCGATCATGGCTCGCCACTTCCTCCTCTTCTTTATAGTTCTCAATAAGTTTTATCTTCTTTTTTAGCTACTTCCCCCAGACCCTGTTCTGTCATCCATTTGCTTAAGCCCGCTAAGTATGTCATGCGTTGCTTTCTCTTGTCCCTCTTTCCCTTTATTCGCCCTGTGAGTATCAGATTCTCCAGGCTCTCCTTTCTCATTACGTGTCCCAGAAATTGCAGCTGCCTCTTCCTGATGTTAAGTATAAGTTTCTTGTTCGTTTGCATCCTCTTCAAAACTTCATCGTTGCTCACATGTTCGATCCATGGCATCCTTAGCATCTTTCTGTAGAACCAAACATTCATTGTCTAGAGTCTCTTCTTCATCTTTGAGTAGACCGTCCAACATTCGCTGCCATAAAGGATGACAGATATCACGTAGCTGTTCAGAACTTTTTTCTTTGTTGCCAACGAAATCCTTCTGTCTCGTAATATTCTACCTAGCTTTTGGAATGCGTCTTTGGTCATCCCAATATGCCTTCGGATCTCATCGTCGCACTTACCGTCCTCTGTCAGAACACATCCCAGATATTTCAATTTCCGCACCTACTTGATTTTAGTGTCTCCAACCTATAAATCGCATTTTGGGTTCATCTTTTTGCTGATGACCATGCATTCTTGTAGTTTCTGCTTAGTACTTTCTTCTCACTCTCATTCGCTACCTTCCCTAGGAGGTTTTGTAATTTATGTGTCTGCTATCAGCACTGTGTTATCTGCGCATCTGATGTTGTTAAGATTGTGGCCACCAATGATGAATCCTGGTAGGATTTCCAGTTCTCTCAGAATTGCATCACTGTATAGGTTGAATAAGTCTGATGAGAAGACACGTGCTTGCCTTACGCTCCTTTCTATTTTTGTATATCTTCTGAACTCATTCTCTATCCAGATGCAGGCAGTTTACTGCCAGTGTAGGTTCTTGATTATTCTAATATCTTTACCAAATATATCAAGGTTGCTGAGTAGTTCCAACAAATCTTTGTGGCGTAATTTGTTGAACGCCTTTGCGTCGTCTATAAAACACAGGCGTACATCCTTCTGCATTTGTATTGCTCTTTATGATAACATTCTGAGTATGAATATCGCGTTCCTTGTTCCGATGTCTTTAACGAATTCGCACTGTTCTTTTCCTATCTCTGGCCTGAGTCTACTGCGCGCTCTATTCATCAGAATACGGATGATGAGTTTTGTCACGTGAATCATTAGGCTTATTGTTCGGTAGAGTTCACATTCGTTTGCACCTGGTTTCTTGGGCAGTGCTATGAAAATAGATTTGCTAAAATCTTCCGGTATATCCCCACTGTTGCAATTTTCATTCATTATTTCTGTAATCTTGTCTCTGCCAAAATCATGAGTTGTCAGCATTTCTGTTACAATTCCGTATGACTTTGCCGCCTTGTTTCTGTTTAATTTGGCCAGTGCAGCTTCTACTTCGGTTTTTAGAACTTCAGTCCGGTCGGTAGTTTTGTGTATTGCCCGTTGTCCTCTTTCATCATGTAGGAGTTCTTCAATATATTCGTTCCAGTGCTGAATAATTTTTCCCTTCTCTCATACGAGTGCGCCATCTTTTGATTTTATGCAGAGCCTGTTGACTAGTACGCCTTCTGTTTTGTTAGTTCCCTTTGTTTGTTTATGCACATCTCCTTTGTTGGTGCTACTCAATCTCTCTATTTCTGCACATTTTTTTTTAGCCACTCTTCTTTAGCCTGCCTGCATTTGGTCCATAGTTCGTTGTGTAGGTTTCTGTATTCCATTCCGTATCTTGGAAAAGTTTTCTGTCTCCTTTGCATCATGTTGAGAATCTCATCAGTGATCATTTCGTTTTTTCTTCTTCGTCCATTTTCCTTTGGGAAGATATTGTTTACTGATGTCACTAAAGCTTCTCTTAGTGTGTTCTATTTTGTGTTTCCATTTCCATTGTTTTCCTCGTATCTTCTTTTCCCACTGACCATATATTTTTCCTTCAGGTACGGGTTACTCAGGTTTTTTGTTGTATTGTAATTTGGGTACTGTGTTAGGCTTCCTCAGTTTCCTTAGTTTCACTCTTAGTTTAGATATAACAGGGCGATAGTCACTCCCGACGTTGGCACTTGGATAGGTTTTGCAGTGAACCATTGCATTCCTGAATTTTTGTTGATAATTATTTAATCAATTTGGTTTTTAGTTTCTCCGCCTGGGCCCCTCCATCTTCATAATCGTCTCAAATGTTCTTGGGAACATTTGTTGGCTATTACCTAGTCGTGCACTATTGGATCCATTTTCAACACATTCGCTGCGGGTTCCTAATCCGAATTTGCCCTCTCCCTGCCTACTTTGGCGTTCAGGTCTCCCATGGTAATAATGACGTCTCGTGATTTGCAATGAGCCTTGGTGTTGTCTAGCATGAAGTAGAAAGATTCGATTTCTTCTTCTTTACTTTGTGCTGTCGGTGCATACACTATTATGATAGCTACGTTGAAAGGCTTTTCTTTTCAGCTTGACTACCAGAATTCATTCGGACTTGATCTATTATCAATCCTACTCCTTTATCGATTTTCTCTCCGCCTGCATAAAGAAAAAGATAATAGTACACTGTAAAACATGCTGAATGATGTATACCTATATTTTATAGATTACGCAAAAGCGTTTGATAAGGTATTGCTCAAAGAACTGTTTGAACTGCGAGGAAAACTTAATTTATTTGGGAAAGATATTAGAATAACCCGGATACTGGAAGCAAACTGCCTGCACACGGAAAGCGAATGAATTGAGAAAATACACAAAAATAGAAAGTAGAGTAAAACAAGAATGTGGTTTCGTACCAGACAGACTTATTCAATGTTTATAGCGAGTTAGGGAACTAGAAGTCTAGCCAGGATTCATTACTAATGGACACAATCTTAACAATGTAAGATATGCAGATTATATGATGTTGATAGCAGGCAGAGAAAGGAAACTACAGGAACTACTACAGAAGGTAGTGAAGGAAAGCGAGAAGAAAAGGCTAAACATCAATTATAAGAAGATGGCGTGTATGGTTGTCAGCAAAAGGAATATCCCAAGATGCGAACTACAAATTGGCGATACCAAAATCAAGCAAGTACGAAAATTTAAATATCTGGGAAGTGTTTTAACAGAAAACGAAAAATATGACACCGAGGCTCAAAAGCGCATTAGAACAGCGCAAAATACCGTCCCCAAATTATTAAGAAAGAGGAACATTTCGTTAGAAACAAGAGCTTAGTGCTGAACTATAATACCAGTCTTCCTATGTGCCAGTGAATGCTGGAAAATCTCCTCACATATGAAGAAGAGACTTGAGGGAATAGAAATATGGTTCTTCAGGACACTGAGAATCTCATGGACTGAACATACGAGTAACGAAGAAGTTTTAAGAAAAATGGAACCAAAAAGGACGCTTATACTTATAAACACAAAGAGATAAAAAGAGATAGAAAAAGTACATATTTCTACGGCACAAAATGAGGAAAGAGGACTTTGAGAGTTTCACACATGACTTAGTGAAGGTAGGAGTAACAGAGGGAAACAATGAGTAATCTAGCTAACAAGCTTGTGTGGTGAAACAGGAAATGGGAAGGTTGATGAAAAAGAAGCCTTACAAAGAGCGAAAAAGGATAAGAAGTTATGGAGAGCCATGATTCTGCACGTCCTAACGGAACACGCCAAGAAGAAGAAAATGTAAACCGGTTAAAATAAAAAAATTGGTAAAAAATGGTAGGTCCGAATTTGGCAATCCCAGGACCATTCTGCCACAGTTAATATACCCCCTCCCTTGTTCCAAACTTTTCTTGATCTGATATTCATTCAAAACACCCGCTAGCTTAACTTTACCCATCATCGGTATCGTTGAAATGAACACTTATTTTTTGTAATTTTCTTTTATTTAACTTGTTATTTGTTGTCTATTTTTTGTTGTTTTTTATCACTTCTCTATGCCATACTATTTCCCAATTTTATTTTTTCTTCTTACCCTTCATTGTTTTAATTTTACCTTAATACTTGCCTCAGTTTGTATATATATATATATATATATATATATATATATATATATATATATATATATGAGCACAAGCTGCTAATATATTATTTAGTGTTAATTCTCGATATTACATTTTAATGGGAGTACATCCTGAGTGGGTAACTGAGTGAGGAAATTTTGCCTTGACGGTTTCCCAACAAAGTGGATATTTGGACTTATACGAAGTTAAAACTTACGTTTTAATTCGCTTCACTCAATTACCTGTCCATATATATATATATATATATATATATGTCATCTCAAGTACCACTCGTTTGTGGTTCACTGGTTCTTCGTATCTGGGAAAAACTAGAATTCATTTGATAGAAGCCAAAAGAAAAGTACGTTAAGAAAAGTGGTTCTTCGCACATAAACCCGTCCATCACCTCCCGTCCGAGGTGAGAGATAGTTGTATGCTTTCGGCCATTCATTCCCCAAAATAACTTGACTGGAACTCAAAACCAGGACTGTTTTGTTTGTTTGTTTTTTTGTAATTGTTTGTTTTTTGTACTTAATTTATTTTTTTTTGTTTTTGCTTTTTGCTTTGTATTTTTGTTTTTAGTTTTTGTGGGTTTTTTTTTAATGTGAGTCAGGGGCGGAGATGGGACTAGTGCTACTCGTGCCCGGCACGACCAATAACTCGGTCAATGTTATTCAAAATGGATTAAAAATCATCCATTAATTTCAAGCAAACATACTTAGGCTGATCTCAATTAAATTACGTATCTATTCAAGTTTCGATAACTAAGTAGCCAAAAGTTCATAAATATATCTGGGAATAATACAACGATGCTGTTTTGAACGGATGGCCACCGTCAGATCTATTGAACATCCCATAATATCGGCTATAATGTTGAACACGCGCAATCCGTGCCAAGCACAAGAAAAGCTTATAATAACAAGTAATGTTAGAGAAATCTCGCTTTTGGCTGTAGCCAATGGTGGCAAAATCAAGTCGAAATACCGTGCTCAGAACAATTAGCACATTGTGACTGCTGATGATTGTCTTGGAAAGAGAGAGAGAGAGACCGAGAGAGAAAGAGAGATAGAGTAGTAGTAGTAGTAGTAGTACGAATAGATGTTTGTAAACATAACCACGTTTATTTATATTGTAAATATCAGTGATGAAGTTATTGTTTCATTAATTAATTAATAAAGAACAGGTTTTGAATAAGAGTGAATTTGTTTTTTTTTTTATTGAGGAATGTTTTTTTTCGTGAATTTTGAATCATAGAAATCTACGAAAAATACTATTAATATAAAATAATAATATTAATATAAAATGACATACAAACCGTATTTTTCGTAGATTTCTATGATTCAAAATTCACGAATAAACCATTCCTTAATAAAAAAAAAACGATTGTGAAGTGCTAATAAAAAATCAATCATTTAATTATTTTATAATTCCATGAGACAAATGACCTGGAGAGTTGTGGACTTAATTGCTAACCTGGTTAGTTGTCATTGTCATCAATTTCTTTTTTCTAATAAAGATATTTTTCTCGTCATAGTAATGAACATCTTCTCTTTTCTTCTATACTTTTGAAAGGAAAAAAAACTTATCTACTGTATTAACAAGACTACAAATTATATAGTATCTTGATTGTTTACAAAAAAACCACCATGCAAGGTACGTTAGTCAATCTGTGCTATACAATGGAGAATCACGCAATAGCAACTATGATGACTTACTTTGGGTCCACGGACCACGGGTTGGGAACTGAAGTTGACAGAGGGGGGGCACGAGTAGCAAAAATAGGCTAGAGTCGCCACTGATGTGAGTAGATAATCTTTCCTATCGCCCAGTCCATACACCCCACCTCTTCTCTTGAACAGAATTAGAGGCTCATACCTTGTTTCCTGGTTCCCAGTTCCTATCCATTTCTCAGGCCTTAATATTGGTGCTGTGATGTCTCGGGATGGTAGCAACGTCTTTTCGCACTGAAGGTACCGGTTTGGCAGTTGCTGTTCCCAAATGGTAATTAGGAGTCCGAACTCTTACATAGTTTCTTGAGGGGCTGCTCTGATAAACAGTCGCATTATATCGACTCCCTTATAGATATGTAAATAGCCAACAACTATTATTCGAGGTCAACATCATTGAAACCTGCTGTTTTGCAGCCATCGATAGAAAAGACAAAAATCTTAAGTCCTGGGCCTTTGTGTTTGGTCATGATGAACAAACGTACAACTCCCACAAAAACTTCAGCATTCTAATATATTCGTTCTTCACTAAAAATTATTTAACTGATGCAAAACAGTTTTATGTTCTTTTATAAATTTGTCATCAAACTAAATCATTTCAATTACAAATACTAGTTGAGCTAAACTAATTTACCTATGCCATAAAAAATGACGGTGTATTTTTTTTTAATCAAGCAAGGCGGTAGTTCTACTAAGATTCAAGGGGCTACTTGGAATGAAAGAGAATGGGAAGAAACCGGAAACCCAATCCCAAACAGGAAACAAGTGATAACCCTCTGCTGTTGAAAAGACCAAGGAGGAGTGTGAACCGGATGATAGATGAACCTATCTACACCTTTTCAAGTTTTAATATTTTATAAGTAGAATGTAACTACAAAATTACAATCAATGCGAACTAAAAAATAATTTGAAAGAAAAATTATGCCAGTTTACTGGTTAAATTTTTTTTTTAATTCTATTTTTAGTCATCAGAAGAATCCAAGAGAAAGGAGAGAAGTACCTATTGACACCTCTCTCTCTCTCTCTCTCTCTCTCTCTCTCTATCTATCTATCTCTTTTCTCTTTCTCTCTCTCTTTCTCTCTCTTTCTCTCTCTCTCTCTATCTATCTATCTATCTATCTCTTTTCTCTTTCTCTCTCTCTCTCTCTCTCTATCTATCTATCTATCTCTTTTCTCTTTCTCTCTCTCTCTCTCTATCTATCTATCTATCTATCTCTTTTCTCTTTCTCTCTCTCTCTCTCTCTCTCTCTCTCTCTCTCCACCCTCGTTATCACCAACAATTGATTTCGCTTTTTACAGGCCTTCTTGACTCCTCCAGGAACAGCATGATACCAGCCGCTGTGATCGTCTGTGGGTTTCAGGTCCCTCTTCCATATCCACATCAGGTTGTTGGTGAGGCCAGATATGTGAAGTGATCTGTGACTTCAAGCATCACGGCATCGATGCTGATTGATAGAGGTGCAGAAACATCTTGACCCATGACGTTAGTTTTTTATATTAATAATCAGCCCAAATTCCTTACAGTCAACTGACTAATCAGTTTTTGAAGATAATGTTCGGTGTGTGTGGTCAGAGCTGCGTCATCAGCCAACAGCATGCAGGCCAAGTTAAATAATTTAGCGTTGCTTCGTGTGCGTAAGTATACACCTTCTTCGGCTTGTCTGAACGCAAAGCTCAATAACATGAAAAATAATATGCCAAAGTTGGTGCTAAATGCATCCTTGTTTTATGCCACTCTGAATAGTGAAGGGCATTGAAGTTTCACCATCATAGCTGACTATAACCTGCATGTTCTCGTGAAAGGAGGTGATGATGCTCAACAAATGTGGGGACAGCCAAATTTCATTAGTAACTGTAACAATCTTTTCTTGCTAACAAAGTCAAATACCTTTGCGAGATCGATGAAGGTGACGTATAGTGCCATCTGTTGTTCGAGACATTTCTCCTGGGTCTGACGTAGAGAGAAGATCATGCCAATTGTGGAGCTTTGAAACTTGAATCCACATTGGGATTCTGGGTAGATATGATCAGCAAGGGAGATGGAGTCGCGTTAAAACCACTCGGACAGAGATTTTACCTACAATTCTTAAAAATGAGATACTTATTATTATTGGTTATAGCATTCACTGCTGTCGCCCTTGTTTTTATGCAGGGTAATTATCTTGGCATTGCGCTTGTCATGAAGAACATTGCCTTCTCTCGAGGAGAGGCTCAAGAGACTATGTAGTTGTTTGGCTTACTGCATTTGGTCTTTGGCAGTATGCTGTCTTCACACAGTTTTACCACAAGCTAAAGCATCAATAGCTTTACTAAGCTCTGACTTTGTGGGCTCAGAGTCCAGCTCTTTCGGGACGAGCAATCCCTAAATAGCATCAAACGCTTCTTTAGTGGGGGAATTTTCTCTTGAGTAAAGTTCTCCATTTATTTGACTTCTTTAGTAATTGATTTCCCTATCGTTGATTTCATAGGCGCAGACTTCTTTGTTGGTTTGTCAGTTGTTTTTAATAACACACACACACACACATATATATATATATATATATATATATATATATATATATATATATATATATATTAGGGGTGCGACGTTATTAATTTGTTAACAATATTAGGGATGTCTTATGGATATATATCTAAAATAAGAAGAATTTGGGTGTAAAATATTTTTGACAGTGAAGCTTTATAGAAATTCCCAAATAGACAAGGCAAGACGCCACTGAGAGGAAACGTCATCAGCAAATCAAATTTTTATCTATAAAAATTATTCTTATTTCAGATACATAAATTAATATTAATATATTAAGATATAGTTTTACCCAATATTGCTAAAAAAATTATACACACGTACACACACACACACACACACACACACACACACATATATATATATATATATATATATATATATATATATATATATATATATAATTTTTTCATATACACAAAAACAATTTACTCACTACAAAGATGCAACCATGTTTCAATGCATTTACTTGCACCTCGACTGGTGAAATCCAAAATGGTTATGAACAATGAATGGTTATGGTTTGTAAGCAGGCTGTTCGTGGAACATCACTTCCTTTTTTTCTATTTATTTGAAAAAACATTTTAAGAGGAGGCGTTTAAGGGTAAAGAAAAAATAGGAAAGGCAAAAGAGTGAGACAATAGTGTTTGTTGATAGCAGTTTGGTGAAGGATTGTTGAGGTGTTGAGGTGATGGCTCGACCCGAAAATATTTTTAAATCGACAGCAATGGTCAAACGTTTAGGCACAGCACTTCCAAGCCTCCAATGAGTGTGGAGTGAGGAAGGAAAGGTGCGAATAGTAGAGAGTGAGACAATGAAAGAGGAAGGAGAGATACGTTTATACGATGGCCGTAGTAGTAATTGGAAACGCATTTGGTAACTTTAAAACAAAGCCAGAACTGAATTGCGCCTATTTAGGTTGGAGTTAAATAATTTTACTTACTGTGTAAGTAATTCTAATACATTTACTTCTTTTAAAAATTATAGTCTATTAAAACTAACAGTGAAAATATTTTAAAGTTGTATTTAAAATTGTAGTTAAATAAAACGAATTCTAACCTAAACATCTTTTATGATTGTAGTTAAATAAAACGTATTCTAACCTAAACAGCTCTCTCAAAGTACTACAATAAAACACCTACAGTAAAATGAAATTAATATGAAAAGCTAGAAGATGTAAGCCATTGAATGACCCATGTCCTTTGTACTTACATGACAAACAATATATTACTAGGTTTATATAAAAAATAAAAGTTTACTAAATCAGTTAAATCAATTAGCTATTTTTGCCGTCATTGTCATAAATTTTACTTAAATAATATTTAAATATAATTTTTTTTAAAAGTGTGACCTAGTAATATAGATACTTATACTTGATGTGAAAATAATTCTACATACTGTAAGGGATTCTAATACATTTACTTGTTCTTAAAAGAAATATAGTATATTAAAAAAAGTGAAAATATTTTTCAAATCGTAGTTAAATAAAACGTATTCTAACCTAAACACCCCCCGAAAAATCCTTAAGTATACAAATAGAAAAAAATGCCGTAAGAATTTTTGCGGTTAACTTTAATTTTTTTAAAAAACGACATGCATTTAACTGATATCAAATTTCATTGAAAAATACATCCCTACCCCTACCAAAACGTAACTAATAACTGATACATCAAATCACAGCGATAATGAATACGCAAACACCCCTTGTCTGGTTGAATGGATTTCTCTGTATCCTTGGAAACGTGAATTATGATTTTTTGGCCGTGCCTTTAAAACCCAGTAATTTTAAAAGTTACTCCAAAATTCGCTTGATAACTCATTGATTTGATAATGACTTGATAACTAATTTGGCAACAGGAAAATTATAAATCCGGTATGATTTAATAAGGTAACTGAATTCTGTATATAGGGCCCATATTCATTAAAGTACTATTTTCAAGAATTGTTTGAAAAGAAAGGAAAAGTAAACAAATAAGTTTCGTTGCTCTCATCATTTGTTGGCATGACTACATTTTTAATTATTTTTCTTGTATGAGACTCTTTTTATTTTGACTTTTATCAGAAGAATGTGCTTCATGTTTAGCCACTCAGCCCTGATCGTTCGTGAATAATGGTCAGTCTTTAGTGTTCAATATTTCTTTATTCACTGTAATCCATCAATCACTATAACTATCGGCTGACCACATTAACTCAATGGAACTTTGACACGACTGGATTGATGACAATTAATAAACTCGCATCTACAAAAGATTGCACACAACATTTGAGTGCTGTATCCCAAGGGAAACTTGTTCTTGTGGATTTGAAATAATAATGTTTTGATTTTCATAAGCACTGCGGTTATTTTCGAAAGTGACTATAAAGAAAATGGAATTAAATTTATAGTTATTAAACTGGAAGTTTTCTTATAAATCAGGTAATTATAATCTGATTTCTGCTTCACAATTATTTTGAGATCATGTTTCTTTACTATGTAAAGAGAAGAATAGAAATTAAGTTCAGTAGAAGAGAAGAAGTAAAACTGTGAAAGCTACGTGAGGTGCAGTGAATTGATTTTGCTAATTATTCTTTGATTATAAATATTTTGCATCGAATTAATCTGAATTTATATCATTCTAAAGTCTCTTAAAATAAAATTTACTTCATAGTTTGAAAAGTAGAAATTGCTTTTAAAAAAAATGAGATAAATATACCTGAAATAAAATATGGTATGCAGTTGTGGTAGGTACTACAAACGAGAAACAAACCTATAGCACTAAATAGAACAGTGAAAAGCGATACACTGGAAGTGACTTCCTTAAGTTGGGTGTAGCTGAACATATTTGGAAAGAAAACGAGGTATATCATTTGGGACTGACAGATGAGTAGTGTCAAGAGTTGATTCAAAAATTGGCTCCATATCAATTTTAGTCATTAATATAAAGGTACGTTTGTCACAAGAAGTAAGAACGTCATAAAAATGCATCAAAAATAATGTAAAGCATCCACATATATGAAATATAGTGTATATATATATATATATATATATATATATATATATATATATATAACAAATTAAAAAAAGATTTTCATAGATTTTGCTAACATTTTTATTTATATATACAAAATATATATGGTTTTCATATACTGGAATCTACCATTGTATCAGGGTGAAGCAGCTCAGTTCTTATAACCAACAGACCGTCGACCCGTACATAGTTGTCCTTCTCCTAAACCGTTATGTATATACAGGGTGATTGCAAAGTAACTCACTATTTTATGTATGATGGACTCTCCTGTCTGACTATAATTTTTACTAAACGGGACAGTCCATCATGCATAAAATAGTGAGTTACTTTTTAATATATATATATATATATATATATATATATATATATATATATATATATATATATATATATATATATATATATATATATATATATATATATATATATATATATAATATGAATGTAAATTCACCAGAATAGCCTTCTACATAAAGAGAAAAGCAAAACACCTAAGGTTAAATGGAAAATGCTAAAACAAGCCAGAACTTGCAAATCTTTGAACGAATCTTTTTGTTTGTAGGGAAAATATGTATTAGGCTTTTGAACAACAGCCCATTATTAAATCAAAGATTTGAAACCATCGTTTTCGTAGGCATATTAAAGAAATAAGTTTACAATCTTACTAAACTTTCAAATCCATAACCCTAAACGTTTAAAATTATAACTCACCTCTTCTGATATACTTTTTACTCTCTTATATACCTTTCTAC